TGGGGGGTGGGGGTGTAGGTGTGTTTGTTCCTGTTTGTGTTTGTCCACAATCATCTCCTTCGTCTTCTTCACATTGATGTGAAGGTTATTATGTCACATTTTTCCCCTTTCCTTCCACTGTTTTTTGTTTTAGTTTTCATGTTTCCATCTAGGAATGCCTGTCACCCTTCCTCACCTCAAGTTTCCCTGTACCACACCTCCTCTACTCAGCCACAGCAATCAACTCTAATCAAATCCACCTGCTCTGCTCTCTTTATAAGCCCAGCTCCACTCTCACTCAGTGCCAGATTATTGAAAGCTTTTTGCCAGTAGATATCCAGCGATTCCTTTTTCTGACTCCTGACCATGACCTCAGCCTTGTTTCCTTGACTCCTCGCCTTGCCTTGTCCCTCTCTGTATTTGTCTGCCTCATCTGACCATGGTATTGACCCTTTTCTTCTCCTCCTTTGACGACGTCTTCGGCTCTTGTCTTTGCTACGGTACCAGCTCTCTGATCGCCTGTTAATGACCCCTGCTAAGTTTTCTGGACCCTGCTTCTGGACTCGCCCTCCATGGACCACACGCTGCTTCTTGTTCTGTTGGCCTGCTGAAGCTCTCACTGCTACAGTGACGTCACCAAGTTCAGCACTTCTCCTGTTCTTGCCACGCCACAGACTGAGAAGGTTAGTGACTAATTCACAGCGAGTCTCAAAACTCCTCACCTGCTTCATAGTCACTAACCTGTCTCTCTCTCTCCAGACTGGACCTCCACCGGAACCCAGACCTCCACCAGAAGCTGCTTTAAAAATAAATATTTTAAAACCATTCCTGAGTCTGATGTTGTGCAGATCCAAACAGCACCTTGTCATATTCTCTTTGCACCAGCTCTCCAGGTGTTCCACCTCATGCCTGTAGCTGGACTCATAATTGTTTGTGATGCATCCCACCATCGCTGTATCATCTGCAAATTTTACAGTGTGACAGCCTGGATGGGTAGGTGGCGGTGCACAGTCATACATGAGCAGAGTGAATAGGAGAGGGCTCAGCACACATCCCTGGGGGAGCCAGTGTTGAGGGTTATGGTGGAGGAGAAGTTGTGGATCCTCACTGACTACGGTCTGTTTGTTAAGAAGTCTAGGACCTAGTTGCAAATGAAGGTGCTTAGTCCTAGTGTGAGTAGTTTGTCTTTGGGGGATCGAAGGCAGATATGAAGTCCACAAAGAGCATACAGACAGGATTCCTTCTGCTCCAGACGGGTGAGAGCAATGTGTACCACAGAAGAGATGGCATCCTCTATTGATCGATTCTCTCAGTATGTCCTCACTGATGTTGATGTTTGGTTTGATGTGGGTCATGACCAGTGTTTCGAAGCATTTAGCTTCGAAACACCTATCGGGGTGAGGACCACTGGCCGGTTGTCATTCAGACCAGTAACTGTAGAGCTCTTTGGGGCTGGGATGATGGTGGCGGTCTTCAGGCAGGTTGGAACTTTTACCATTGTAAGTGAGAAGTTAAAGATATCGGCCAGCCCCTCGCAGAGCTGATCGGCACATTCTTTCAGTACCTTCCCAAGGATGTTGTCTGGGCTAGTTGCCTTGTGCGGGTTAATCCTTCTGAAGGTACTCCTTACTTCTGCTGAGGTCACACTGAGATGCTCTTCATCAAGGTCTTCCTCTGGGTCTCCTCCCAGTGGGACGTGTCTGGAACACCTCACCAGGGAGGCATCCAGGAGGCATCCTAACCAGATGCCCTAGCCACCTCAACTGGTTCCTCTCGACGTGGAGAAGCAGCGGCTCTACTCTGAGTCCCTCCCGGATGATCAAGCTTCTCACGCTATCTCTACGGGAAAGCCCAGACACCCTGTGGAGAAAACTCATTTCGGCTGCTGGTATCCGAGATCTTGTTCTTTCGGTCACAACCCAAAGCTCATGACCATAGATGAGGGTAGGAATGTAAATCTATCGGTAAATTGAGAGCTTTGCCTTTTGACTCAGCTCTCTCTTCACCACGACAGACCTGCGCCCGCATCACTGCAGATGCTGCACCTATCCGCTTATCGATCTCACACTCCATTTTTCCGTCATTCGTGAACAAGACCCCAAGATACTTGAACTCCTCCACTTGGGGCAGGACCTCCTCCCTGATCCGGAGAGGGCACTCTACCCTTTTCCAGCTCAACACCATGGCCTCGGATTTGGAGGAAATTATCTTCATCCCGGCCATGTTGCACTCGGCTGCGAACCGCTCCAGCGAAAGCTGTAGATCACGATCTGATGAAGACAATAGGACCACATCATCTGCAAAAAGCAGAGACGCCATCCTAAGGCCACCAAAACAGATCCCCTCAACACCCTGGCTGCACCTAGAAATTCTGTCCATAAAAGTTATGAACAGAATCGGTGACAAAGCACAACCTTGGTGGAGTCCAACTCTCATCGGGAACAAGCCCGACTTACTGCAGGCAATGCAGACCAGGCTCCGACACTGGTCATACAGGGACCTAACAGCCTGTATCAAAGGGCCTGGTACCCCATACTCCCAGAGTACCCCCCACAGGGTTCCCGAAGGGACGCGGTCGAACGCCTTCTCCAAGTCCACAAAGCACATGTAGACCGGTTGGGCAAACTCCCACGCACCCTCCAGGACCCTGCTGAGAGTGTAGAGCTGGTCCAGTGTTCCACGACCAGGACGGAAACTGCACTGCTCCTCCTGAATTTGAGGTTCGACTATCCGACAGACCATCCTCTCCAGAACCCCCGAATAGACCTTACCAGGGAGGCTTAAGAGCGTGATCCCCCTATAGTAGGAACACATTCTTCGGTCCCCCTTTTTGAATAGGGGGACCACCACCCCGGTCTGCCAATCCAGGGGAACTTCCCCCAATGTCCATGCAATATTGCAGAGCCACGTAAGCCAACACAACCCTACAACATCCAGAGCCTTAAGGAACTCTGGGCGAATCTCATCCACACCCGGGGCCCTGCCACCAAGGAGCTTTTTAACCACTTCGGTGACCTCAGCACCAGAGATTGGAGGGCCCGACCCAGAGTCCTCAGGCTCTGCTTCCTCAGTGGAAGACGTGCCGGTGGGATTGAGGAGGTCTTCAAAGTATTCTGCCCACTGACCCATGACATCCTGAGTTGAGGTCAGCAGCACACCACCCCCACTATAAACAGTGTTGGTGGTGTACCGCTTTCCCCCCCTGAGACGCCGGATGGTGGACCAAAATCGTCTCGAAGTCGTGCGTAAGTCATTCTCCATGGCCTCTCCAAACTCCTCCCATGCCTGAGTTTTTGCCTCAGCGACCACCCGAGCCACATGTCACTTGGACTGCCAGTACCCATCAGCTGCTTCTAGTGTCCCACAGGCCAAAAAGGCTCGATGGGACCCTTTTTCAGCCTGACAGCATCCCTCACCACAGATGTCCACCACCGGGTTCGAGGGTTGCCGCCACAACAGGCATGACAACCTTGCGGCCGCAGCTCCGGTAAGTCGCCTCAACAATAGAGGCACGGAACATGGCCCACTCGGACTCAATGTCCCCCACCTCCCCCGGAACATGTTCAAAGTTCTCCTGGAGGTAGTAGTTAAAGCTCTGTCTCACAGGAGACTCTGCCAGACGTTCCCAGCAAACCCTCACAATACGTTTGGGCCGGCCATTTCTGACCGGCATCCTCCCCCACCATCGGAGCCAACTCACCACCAGGTAGTGATCAGTGGACAGCTCCGCCCCTCTCTTCACCCGAGTGTCCAAGACATGTGGCCGCAGATCAGATGAGACGACGACAAAGTTGATCATCGAACTGCAGCCTAGGGTGTCCTGGTGCCAGGAGCACATATGGACACTTTTATGTTTGAACATGGTGTTCGTTATAGACAATCCATGATGAGCACATAAGTTCAACAACAGAACACCCCTCGGGTTCAGATCAGGGGGGCCATTCCACCCAACCACACCCCTCCAGGTCTCACTGTCATTGCCCATGTGAGCATTCAAGTCCCCCAGGTGAACAAGGGAGTCCCTAGGGGGTGCACTTTCCAGTACCCCCTCCAAGGACTCCAAAAAGAGTGGATAATCTGAACTGCCGTTTGGTGCATAAGCACAAATGACAGTCAGAACCCGTCCCCCCCACACACACACATGTAGGCGGAGGGAGGCCACCCTCTCATTCACTGGGATGAACCCCAACACACAGGAACCAAGATGGGAGGCAATAAGTATGCCCACTCCTGCTCGGCGCCTCTCACCAGGGGCAACCCCAGAGTGAAAGAGTGTCCAACCCCTCTCAATGAAACTGGTTCCAGAGCCATGCGTAGAGGTGAGTCCATCTATTTCTAGCCGGAACTTCTCAATCTCACACACCAGCTCAGGTTTCTTCCCCACCAGTGAGTTGACATTCCACGTCCCAATAGCCAGCTTCTGTAGCCGAGGATCAGACCGCCAGGGTCCCCGCCCTCAGCCACCACCCATCCCACATTGCACCTGACCCTTTTGGCCCCTCCCACAGGTGGTAAGCCCATTGGAAGCCACGAAAAGATTATTTATTAAAAGTATTTTACGTTGTAACCTACATTTTATTGAATATTGAGACTTAGGCCCTTTCTGCTATTTCACATTTTTAAACAAATAATGTTTTTCTTACCACTAGGTGTGATCACATACATCTTAAAATACAGGAAAAAAAGTTAGAATTTTTTTTAAATCAAAATACTTGTTGCTTTGGTGCAGTTTCCTCTCTTGATTTCATCACTCAATCAAAGTTTAATGGAACAAACCAGGATGAAGTGAAGAAGAACAAGAACAAAAACAAGAAGAAAAAGAAGAACAAGAACAAAAACAAAAATAAGGTAAAAACCAGTTTCTAGGGCATAAAGTGATAGTGGGCATGTGTGAAACAAGCTATTTTTGCATTGTGTCACTAAAAATGTTTTAACATAATTTTGAATCATGTAGAAACCTGCCAGAGATTTAAACTGGATCACATCTGTCACTGAGTGAGACTCCATCACTGGCATCTCACCTTGTCGGGACGTCTTGAAGCTGAACGACTGGAACCCCCCGGTGAGGGCAGACGAGTCAATGACATCAACACCATACTCGCTTTGGCTTCGCCGATAAAGAGTGACGGCGATTATCAGTAGTACCACTGTCACCACCCCCACTGCCAAGCCCGAGTACAAGGCCACATCACTGGTCCTCTCCACACCTGAAAACGCAAAAGTAGGAGCTTAATGTTTTCAGCTGATTTGTTTATTCAGGCTGCAATGGGATGATAAAAAAAAAAAAAAAAACTACAATAATCACAACAACAAAACAAACAAACAAACAAAAACATGTTTGGCAAAGAAAATTTTAACTAAGGTAAAGTTGTGGAAGCTTTTTGTTTCAAACTACATTAGTGTCTGTTTTGTTTTCCATCCCTCGTCAGCCTCCTGGTACACAACTTGATTGTTTCACTCTGCAGAGTTAAAGCTACTAATGAGGAACCTCACAAGGAAGGCGATTATAATCAACCCAGCACCTGACTGTCATTTTAAAAACCGCTTGGCTCTGGTGTTGGAGGCTCTCTGCGTTCCACTGGGATAATGTGACAAAACCAATTCATTAAATTAGCTCATCGGCAGCGATTATGCTCTATCTGCTCCCACCAGTATTGCAGCATCTAACTCCACAAAGAAAAAGAATGAGTGGGAAACAGAAGCCGCTAGCTTGTTCTTGAAAGATAATGAGATCTGCGCCAAAGCAGGACATGCTGAGAAATCCTCAAAGTAGCCTGAAGCTCAAATGAGAAAAAATTGACAAAATATGCAAAGCGGTATTAGCTATAGGAGCAGGTTAATTGAGGGCTCGGGAAGTTTTGGCAGTCTGAATGCATTTTCTTACCCTTACTGAGAAATAAAAATACAGATCTGTGTCAAAGGACATGTAAGGAGAACATGTTAGGCATCATACTGACACCGGAACAAAAACCTAATTAAACAACCATTAAACATGAAGCAAACTGGTTCCCCTTTGATAGGGTCGACCTGAACGGCTACACCTGATGAAGTCATAGATAAGGGAATTAATAGAAGTGTGCAGCATTAGCTATGTATGGAAACTCTTTGAAACAGGTGAAACATTTTTTGTCTATTTTTTCTTACTATCATATTTTCCTTTTTAAAAAAAGTTAAGAGGACAAGTGAAACACTACATCTAAAGTCTAAAACATGAATCTTTTTGGTTGCTGCCACAACAGACCCCAATGACCTTTAGGCCACAGCTCCTGAAAGCCGCATCTGACCCTGAACATGACCTATTCAGATTTCATGTCCCTCTCCTCCCCTGGCACACATGAAAAACTTTTCCGGAGGTGTGAGTTGAAGATCGTATGAACAGGGGGCTCCACCAGACGTTCCCAGTTCACCCTCATTATGTGTTTGGTTGTACCAGGTCTGTTTGGCAGCCTTCCTTACCACCAGACCCAAGTCACCACCAACTGGTGAGCTGGTTGTCAGCTCAGCCCTCCTGTGCCCAAGACATAGGGAAGCTGGCCTGATGACATGATTACCAAACTGATCATTGACCTTTGCCTAAGGTGGTCTGGTGCTAATTACACTTTTGGACGACTGCATGCTCCAATATAGTGTTTGTTACGGACAGCTTATGCCTAGCACAGTAGTCCAATAACAAAACAGCATTCCAGTTCAGATCAGGGAGGCTGTTTCATCATTGCCCACATGGGCATTGACGTCACCCAGTAGAACAAAGGAATCCCAGGAGGCACCCCTTCCAAAACACCATCCAAAGACTCCAGGAAGGCCAGGTAATCTGAACTGCTGTTTGGTACATAAGCACAAACAAGAGTCTGAACCTTTCCTCCTGCAGTCTGAAGCCACAGAAAGGCAATGCTCTCATTCACCTGGGAAAACTCCAACACCAAGGCATTCAGCCTGGGGCTTGTATCCCCACACATGCCTAAGGCCTCTCCCAGGGCAACTCAAGAGAGTCCATCCCCTCTCCAGGAGTTGGGTTCCAGAGCACAAGCTGTGCGTACAGTGTGAGCCCAGCTATATCGAGCTGGCATCAACCTCACACACAAGCTCTGACTCCTTACCTGCCAGTGAGGTGACATTTGCTTGTGCTGGTGTTCTACAGTCATTAAATCAAACCAAAGATTTTAGTTGGACTGAGGTCTGGTCTTCGACGGGACTATGAATTCAACAATTGTTTAAACTGTTCTTTTTCCAGATTGAAAAATTGTAGAACAAACCATTTCTTTTTTCACAACCTACTCTGTCTGGAATGACTCAAAGACTTTTTGTGCATAATGGAAACTTTTTCTGAAATCTTTGGCCAAAACTGTCAAAGCTAATTTAGGATAAAACAATAAATGACCTTAATGGAAGTGGATGTCAAAGGCTTCTGGTTCTGTATCCAAGCAATCTTTCATACACTACTGGTAACTTTTTTAAATTTATTGATGGCAGGGATTTTATAAAGATGTTTCTTGTACTGACCTGAAAGGGAAAATTTTGTAAAAAAAATCTAGTTTTAAATGCTGAACATTTGTCATATGCCATTTTACAACATGGTCAGATGAAAATGGAGTCAGAGCACATGAAGGGTGATGGATTATTTTTCACTTGTGAGTTTCATGTACAGGAGATAACGTTTTAAAATGTAGACGTGTTGCACTATGAAAACACATAATCCAAACTTGACCCCCCTGCCCTGGACTACAAACAAAAGTGGCAGTGTAAGAATGTAATAAAAAATATTCTGACTGCACAACAAGGTTGTATATAATAATAATATTAAAAAAAAAATCCTAAATATTTGTCAGTGACGGTGGTTCTAAAGCACAGACTGACACACCTTCACAATTTTTTTCTTTTTCAGCATTATTATTTTTACACTAAAATAAACTTTGCACTGAAGTAAAAAAAAAACACCAGCCTAGATTTGCACACTAAGAAATACCATGTTAGGTGTCCACTTTTTGTAAAACATGACACAAGTTTGCAAAACACCAAATAAAACATCTGTTTTAGAAATATATCATGATGACAAAATATAGGATGACGTGAACCAGGAGCGATTCTAGAATTTGACGTTTAGGGATGCTCAGCCCCCAGTACTGACAATGGCTATTGTCTTGAACAACATGGTGGCCATCAGTGTCAGAAGCATTTGTAATGTGAGGGGACACACTGGTGGTGGTGGTTGTTGTGTGTGTGTGTGTGTGTGGGGGGGGGGGGGTTCCTCCCCAGAAACTTTTGAATAAAGTAGATGCCATTTCCTGCATTGTGGTGTATTATAACAGGTTGTTAAACATCTACGTTTATCTACGTATGGAAACACTTGATTCAATAACTATTGTAGAGAGCATGACACAAGAAGTAGCCTGACCAACAGCTCTCCTTGTGTGACTAGAGCACGCTCTGCTTCTCTCAGGCATCCTAACCTTGAGCTAATTAAGCTGCTCATGAGTTTGCCCATTGGCCTTCATCCATCTTTTACATTTTTCCAAACTTTGTTTAGTTTGTGAAATGGAATAAACTGTATTACACACACTCTAAATGCTCGGGGTAACATGTGTCTGAATTATATAATCCCCACTGACAACGTTTAATAATTTTCTTAAGATTTTTCATGAAATCCCTCTGACCCCAAAACATCCGCAAAGCAAAACCTCAACAATGTTGTTGGAGAAAAAGGGGGTGCAGCTCCTGCAGGTAAGGGGTGTTCACTTAGGGAAAAATTAGTTGACAGGTGGCATTGAAGATCCAACTCATGCAAAAAAATAAATTAAATAAAATCAGATTTTATTGGCCCATTTAAGACTGTCATCATTTATTCCATATTTATTCCAAATTGATTCAATATTTTGGTGAATCTAAGGTTTGAGAAATGAGTTTCATTACAAAATCATAATAATGGTTTCTTAAATTTTCTGGAGTGCTGAGTTACCCCCCCCCCCCCTCAAAAAAGAGACTAAAATCACCACTGATATGAACAGTTTGTGTTTGATATGGAGACAAAACATAGTTTTTATTACAATGTTTATTTTTGTTACAAAATATTTCTGTTGTTCTGCTAATTGGGTGTGTGATTGTATTTGTGTTGTGTTTTGAAAAAAAAAAAGGGTTTTATTTTAAAAAGTGCCAGCAAAAAATTAAAAAGAAAAAAGAAGAAAAATTTGTAATAAAATTGTATTAATTAAAATACAACTTTAATGCTCTGAGAGTACTCATTGGGCAGACAAAACTACTAAGTAGAACCTTGAAAACCATGGAAACCAACATGGATAATTTAGGTTCTGAAAGAAAGCATTTCCTTTTATTTATTAATTTTTTCTTGAAATCTTAAAATACCAGAGGGTATTTTAGGCGAGGTCGCCTGTGTGTGTTAAACTCATGATTCATATATTTTAGGAGTGAATAAAAAGCAACTGCAGAAGGAGAAGAACCGCTGGGTCATGTCAGGGACATTGATGCATTAAAGTTTTAGATTAGCGCCGAGTCAGAAACAAACTCACCTTGAGGCTTTGCATCGTGGAGTAACTTACGGTCTGCAGACAGAGAAACAGAATGATTTGAGAGTTCCTCAGTAAGATTTGAAACACTCAAAGCATTTGATTCTGTCATTACTTGTGCATGCAGCCATGCCTGAGCACCCTGTGCTTGATGCATGTGGAGTCGAGTGGATGAATAATGAAGATGGATGAGGTTGTTTTTAATGAGCGTGATTATAATGACGATCATGATCTTGACTGCTCTGCATAAAATGATAAACATTAAATTTGTAATGACACAGTCTATGAGCGTGGTGCAACTGATGATGTCGAATTCTCTACCTATTTTAACTTTTGTAGCCTATGATGGGAGAGCGACTGTTACTCACTCTGCGTGCACATGCCACCCGTGCAGTTGTCTGCAGCCAGCGCCACCCCGTCGCACAGCCTTCCTCCATGTTTGGGCTCAGGAGCTGTACATTCTCTGCTGCGCTGCCTCTCACAGTCCAAGCTACACACAGACCACTCAGTCCACTGTCCCCAACCACCATCAACTAGAGAAACAAACAGCAGTATTTTATGTGCATAAAGAAATGTTAGTACATGCAAATACTAAAACAACTCGTACAAATTCAGCACAGTCTAATAACTTAGCTTTCCTTAAAGAAATGCATAACGACATGACCTTTCATGTTGGAGTTTAAAAATAAAATCATCTTATGTTGCAGCCATTTTGCTCAAACTTCAAATAAAAAGATGTACAAAATCTTGTGAAACATCACTAGATGTCACCCTCAGATTATATATCACTCTCAGCTACTATCATATTCAATTTTAGCCCAAACTTTCAAGGATTCAAGGATTAAAGGTTCTTTATTGTCATTCACGTTGCATGTGGTACATGAGGCGGAACGAAATTGTGTACACATGGTCCCAGTTACACCCAACAAAAGCAAAAATATAAAGTATATATAAAAAACAGTAAAGAAGGATCTAAGATATAAACAAAGATATATGCATAAACAAACACCAAACAGTACACTAAAAGATCTAAGATAGTGAAAAACAATACACTGAACAGCAGCAGCATGATTCTCTCAGGTTCTGTTCGGCTATAATTTGCACAACAAAGTCCATGCTCAATAATCCAGGTATACAATCCAACAATTTTCAGTCAGGTCAGCTGGACAGTTTCTTTTTTTTTTCTGCTGAAACGTTTCGCCTTCGATCCGGAAAGCTTCATCAGTCAAGGAAACACACAACACAACATAACTGTCAGTTTTGTGAAAAATGTTGGATATAATTTGCATACTTAATGAGAGCACTAACACAAACTAAACTAACATAAATTAGGATTTATTCAAATCATGCAACAAAAATACAGAAACAAGGCACCAAAAGTGAAAAATAAATAAATCTACAGCAGCATGGTCTTATTAGCAGAGTGGTTCTGATGGCAGTGAGATTATCTTAGCAACAGGGTCCAGTTAGCAGCATGATACTGTTAGCAGTGTGGTTTGGTTAGCGGTGTGGTTTGGTTAGCTGTGTGGTCTTGTTAGCAGGTCCATTCAGCAGCATGATGATAATAAGGCCACTGTAGCTGCCTTCCAGATTGCCCTCCAAAACTGGGTCCGGCAGACAGAGAACATCCAAGGTTCCCCCACGGAATCAAGTGGGTCTGTAGAGTTTGGTCTGTGCAGACAGATGGAGGATCTTGTTAGCAGCGTTAACAGGTCTTGTTAGCAGGTCCCATCAGCAGCATGATGATAATAACGACGGCAACAGCTGCCTCCCAGAATGCTCTCCAGAACCGGGTCCGGCAGACAGAGAACATCCAAGGTTTTCCTGCAGAACCGAACGGGTCCGTAGAGTTCGGTCCGTGCAGGCAGATGGAGGATCATGGAGACGGCCACCATGACAGTCCTGAACCTGAGGCTGGAAAGACTGAACCACGATGGCAAGACATTGACACAGAAAACTCTACAAGTGTGTCACAGTCATACCCGTACTGCAGATGTACACTGTAGGCGGGAAAAAAACATTTTTGGATAAAGGACAAAACATCCATCCATCCATCCATTCTCTCCTGCTTATCTGGGGTCGGGTCGCGGGGGTAGCAGCCAAAGTAGGGAGGCCCAGACTTCCCTCTCCCCAGCCACTTGGGCCATCTCCTCAAGGGGAATCCCATGGCGTTCCCAGGCCAGCTGAGAAACAGTGTCCCTCCAGCGTGTCCTGGTTCTCCCTCTGGGTCTCCTCCCGGTGGGACGTGCCTGGAACACCTCACCAGGGAGGCGTCCAGGAGGCATCCTAACCAGATGCCCGAGCCACCTCAACTGGCTCCTCTCGATGTGGAGAAGCAGCGGCTCTACTCTGAGTTTCTCCTGGATGATCGAGCTTCTCACCCTATCTCTAAGGGAGAGCCCAGACACCCTGCGGAGAAAACTCATTTCAGCCGCCTGTATCCATGATCTTGTTCTTTCGGTCACAACCCAAAGCTCATGACCATAGATGAGGGTAGGAATGTAGATCGACCAGTAAATTGAGAGCTTCGCCTTTTGACTCAGCTCTCTCTTCACCACGACAGACCAGTACAGCGCCCGCTTCACTGCAGATGCTGCACCTATCCGCTTATCGATCTCACACTCCATTTTTCCGTCATTCGTGAACAAGACCCCAAGATACTTGAACTCCTCCACTTGGGGCAGGACCTCCTCCCTGATCCGGAGAGGGCACTCTACCCTTTTCCAGCTCAAGACCATGGCCTCGGATTTGGAGGGAATGATCCTCATCCTGGCCGCGTCACATTCGGCTGCAAACTGCTCCAGCGAAAGCTGTAGATCACGATCTGATGAAGCCAATAGGACCACATCATCTGCAAAAAGCAGAGAAGCGATCCTAAGGTCACCAAAACAGATCCCCTCCACACCTTGGCTGCGCCTAGAAATTCTGTCCATAAAAGTTATGAACAGAATCGGTGACAAAGGGCAACCTCAAAGGGAACGAGCCCGAGGACAAAACATCTAAAAAAATAAAAACAAAAGAAGAAACTGTCCAGACGACCAGACTTAACTTTGACAGTTATAGTTATGTTGCATCAGCTAATTTTGAATACCCGTGGCAGCTATCCTAAAACGAATTGACTCCAAATGTCACTCCGTAGATCCTGAAACTTAAATGTCTCACACAGTGAGCAGCAACTAGAGTACAAGTGACTGAATTACAGCCATGCTTGTGTTTTCTAGAATCAGCTGTTTGTGGTGCTCATCTTCATTTGGATGTGTTCAAGTTATTCAGTTGTAGATATTTGTTCAAGTTTTATTATAATCCATGTAGGGTTTCGTGATTTACTTTTCGAACAGATAGACAGAGTTGACTCATAGTTATTGGCAAAATTTTAAACAAAGACTTTGCACAATCTGTTCGCACTCAGAATACGTGTTGGAGATCTTTCTCAGCTACAAACACTCAAAAATATAGGTCAATATCTACTAAATGACTTACATTAATTCTTGTGTTTTTTTTTGTCAATAAGCTGTAGTGGCTATCTTGAAATCAGGTTGAGTCAAAATGTCGTGAGCAAATACATTATTGTTCACCACCTTTCGGCAAGCGGGCAGTAATAAAGGAACATTTGTAGTTCATCTAATTCACGTTGATTTATTTAAAAGTTGCTTGGAACTTTCTAAAAAAAAAAAACACTTTCAAAGTTACAGCAGCATTACTCCAATATCTTACTCAGCGTGTCTAAATATTTCCAGACTTAAAGCACAGAGAGCCTGATTACGCCACGCTCAATCACATCTACGTTCCTCCTAACTGTGTTCAAGCCCCTCTCCTTCCTGCTGATCTAACGCTTCCTGATTATGTTGGAACTCGTGAGCAGTGAGTAAGCTCGCTGCCATTGCTGATCACTTATTTTCTTCAAAGTGATAAATGTGTTTTATATTTTGCAGTCAATGAAATCATAAATGCATGTTTGGATAAAAGCACTTTGTTAAAGCAGATAACACAATGACAGGATTGACTGCTGCTTGTTCTCCGGGTCTCTGACGAGTTAATGTTTTCTTGTTTGGCAACATGTTTTTTTGTGTGTGTTCAAATGTCAGTCTATAAAGCTAAATATCCCAAGAACCACTGGATGGATTTTAACAAAACTATTATAAAATAATAACTGGATGCACATCAAAAACTGATTAACTTTAAAGTCAAATAGATTTAAGATGGCTGCAGTAGCAAATCAAACTTAGCAAACACAGAAATAACTGTAAGTCATCGAGAGTTATAAGAAATTGAGCTGCATTTTGTTAGATGAGAGTCATCTGAAACACATACTCCAAGAAATTCAAGGTCAAGGTCAAGGTGTCTTTATAGTCATTCACATCACATGTGGTACATGAAGAAAAATTACAGCCCATGCACGATTTGGGGGGTTCAAGGACTGGTGTATGCTTTTGAAAATAAAAAAAAGTCTACAGAAATAGCATGTTTTGTATTCGTGAAAATGTTTGAAATTGTGAACCACCCCTTAAGGCTGCACAGAAGTCTGTTGGAGTCAGCCTCTCCACCATCACAGACATCTATACCTCTAGATGCAGGAAGAGGGCCACCTGCATCATGAAGGACCCCACTCACCCAGCGCACACTTTTGCCCCGCTCCCCTCAGGAAGGAGGTTGAGGAGCATTAAGTGTAGAACTACTAGACTGAGGAACAGCTTCTACCCTGAAGCTGTTAGACTCATGAATCTCTAATCAGAATAATCACTGTGAAAAATCACATCATGTTGCTGCTGATCTGTTTCAATGTTGTTGCTGATCTGTTTCATGTTGCTGCTGATCTGTTTCATGTTGCTGCTGATCTGTTTCATGTTGCTGTGTTCATTCATGCTCATCTGCTCACAGACTCATGTTCGTACTTCTGTTCAGTGTATTGTTTTTGTACAATCAGTGCTTTGTGTGATTTTAGTTGATGTTTTTCTTAGTTCATTGCTTAGATCTTATTACTGTTTTTCTTTTACATTTTATACTTTTGTTGAATGTAACTGGGACCCTGTGTACACAATTTCATTCCACCAAATGTACCACATGTGGTGGAATGACAAATAAAGAAACTTGAATCCTTGAATGCTTCAGCACTAGCTAAAAAATATATGGTGCTGTTGTTATGAACGTTTTGTTTTCTCCATTTAGTTTTCTGTGGTAAAACGTGTAAATCATAATCCTCAGCAGGGTTGATTAGTGGCCCTTTTGACCAATCAGGCTAAAGATAATGTATGGATCGATGGATGGATAAGAAATGACAGTTTTATAGCTATTTTTGTTCAGTCTGAAAAGTATTCATAAAAGATCTCAAGATATCTCGAGATGCATGAGCATTCAAAGAATATGACCACATCAGATTAGATCTTAATAGCTGGTTAAAGGTTTGTAAACTCAATCATCCAGGTAGATAACAACATTATTTTCTACCTGGATGATTGAGCTTACAACCCTTTATCTGAACCACTTTGGCATTGGTTGTTCTCAGGTTGTTTCTGTGAGTAGCAAGTGGGCCATCTGGTCTAAAACATTTGATTGTTGTTGATGATGATTGATTGTTATGGATGGGTGTGCTCTGTTTGCACGTGTTAAAAGTCTACTTCTGAGATTCCAACAGGAGGTTGTCTTAAAACACAGTGGTGAAGGTTACCTATGGGACAGATTTGGCTGGCAGGCCACATACTGAGGAAGTCCTCTGGATGGCAGACAAAAGTTTTCTTACTTAAAGGAACTGATCCAGATGACATGATTTAACCTTTTTTGTTGTAAAGTTGGTTTTAGTTTGCTGTAATTACTATCCATCTTGAATTGGGCCAATTTCACAAGTAATCCATTGTAGATGCACATTTGACAATTTTTTTTGACAGTTTCATGAAAATCAGAGTGGTTCATAAGATTTTTTTTTTACAAGAGAAGAGACACACAAGGTTAACTTTAACAGCTAATGCCAAAATTTAACACAAATATCTCATCAATGATTTGGTGCCTGGAGTTTGTATTAAAGTTTACATAAGCATAAAATTTAAATGTGAATTGGGTTGACTTTTTTTGTTGTTGTCTCGTTTAGATTCATATTTTGGGCTGTGACTCTTGTTTCAGTGTTCAATAGCTCCTACCTGGACATACAGTGTTGCATGGACTCTTCTGCACAGACATTCCCTCACAGAAGGCTCCTCCGTTGAGGGGAGCTGGATTTGTGCAAGTTCGAGAACGTTTCTGCACACCCCGACCACATCGTACGCTACACGGGGACCAGTCTGTCCACGATGACCAGCCTCCATTCACTGAGAGGGAGGAAAAAAGGTGCAACATCACTACATGAACATGGAATTACACAGTGTGAGAATAAATTAAACCATCTCTGTTTTAAGAAAACCCCAACAGGACGACTCTGTCACAAGACGGGGGCATGAACTTATAGAAAAGTAAAACAGCAATCAGATGTAAATTGTTGCCTTTTCTTAAAAAAAAAAGAAAAAAAAAAGAAAAACATGGTGGGAGGTCAGAAGCACAGAAACACTTCAATCAAGGGTTTGCTTTGGTAAAAGAAATGTGTTGCAGCCTGACATTATATTTCCACTCTCTACAAGGCCATAAAGCACTTAAAAACTGTGTTTGCTGGCCTGCAGCGACAAAGAATTTTGAAGAGGTGTTCAGTGTTGTCAGATGAAAGCTGGAGAGTGGCATTAACCACTTTGCAGCTTTTCTCTCATTTTTAATAGAGTTCTTGTAAATCTTTTGGAAGTCTTCTGGATAAAAGATGAAACGTTTCAACAAAGAAGAACTCGTTCTGAGGACCTGACTCAACCTTGTTAGATTGATCTACCTGGAATATTGAGCATGCATCTGGACAGTTCTTGTAAATATTAGGCCTGTAAATAAATAAAAACAACTTTTTGGATACTCCATTAAACTCAGATGTGAACAATTTCCACTCTCAGATGCTTTCTAGATAAAGTTTTTCAAGGATTTTTCTTTTGGCAGCAAATTGACATCAAGCCTTCATGGAAAATGTTGACAAAGTATTAACATTTAGTTGTTCTTCTACCTGCACTCATGTGCCATAATAAAGATTTAGCCATCCTTGAGGCATAATGACCACCAGCTTTCACGCCAAAGCTGTGATCATATTTTTTTGAGAAATAATTGAGTTACAGTCGTTTTAGTCCCACCGTGTAAAAGATGCAAAATCACAGGCAATATTTGCAAGAGTTTGCAAATGAGTTAGTGTTTGAAGCAGGGCTTAATTTGTAAACTGATTGATGCCGGAATGCAAATAGTTGGCGGGGGGTGGGGGGGTGTGTGTGCAGGGGAAGTGGAGGGAGCTTGTGAGTCCTCCTCCATCTTAATTTTTTTTATAAAGTAGATATTTCCTGCATTTTGGTGCACCCTTTTTTAACGGGCTACACATTTACCTACATTTGAAAACATTTGATTAAATTACTATTTTAGAGAGCAACAACAGGTTGTGTGCGAATAGAGCAGCTCCAATTCTGTCAACCATCCTAACCCCCCCCCCCCCCCCCCCACACACACACACACACACACTTCACGTTTCTGAATCACACTCTTCTCCACTGAATTCATTCCTTTGTTGTTGCTCCTGCTGCTCCAACATCAATTACGACTGCCTTCTCAGGTGTCCAACTAAGAACCATCCATCCATTTATTTTATAAAAGTAAATTGTCTTTTTGACATTTTGATCGCTGTTATTTTGATGCTGTTATTTTGATACGTGATTAATGTGAATAATACACATCAAACATTTCTCTCGTTTTTTTTTTTTTACAATTATTATTACTTTTTAATGTAGCTAAGCTTCTTTATTTATTATGTCTGAAACGTATGCGTGAGTTCACATCAGCATTTGTGCGTGCTCAGAGCTGTCTGGAGATGCTGCTGTGTGTAAGGTATGGCAAGCCAACTGGCCCATTAATACCCACTTTTACCACATGCCTGGCTATTAATGGGCCACTTGGCTTGCCATATTAATGAAGACACGTCATCCCCGCGGGACATGCTGTCCACGTCTCTGCTGGGCAGGAGCGTGTGCACGAGCTGGTCCACATGCTGCAGCTGTAAAGTCCACTCCACAGACTGGGCAACATCTCCTCTTGTTGTATTTTAATAAATAATCAAATGCACGATGACTTTGGACTTTTATTGGTGGAGATTTGAGCTTCTGGATCCGAGCAAACAGTTGCCGGAATGCACCCGGTCAAAATAAGAGAGTTCCTGGATATTGTTCCAGCAGGATCTGGCTCAAATTAAGCACTGGTTTGACATATATTATGATTCACTCTCAACTACTACCACGTTAAGTTTTAGTTCAACATCTGTAAAATAACAGTCAGAGTTATTTTATGTTAGTTAACCTCGTTTAGTATTGGTTAAATTGTGGTGACTCTAAAAGTGAACCAGTTGCAGACGTACATCTAATGCATCTGATTTGAAAGTTTCATTAAAGTTTGTGTAATAGTTTATGAACTATTGCCCCTTTTGCACTGCTCCTAATAAGCCCCAATTCTGGGCAGCCCACCACAGAAAGAACCCTTTTGCACCAGCACTTTAGCTAGTATTTTTAGCTGATTTGAGGCTCATTCAAGACCACTTTTCGTCCCTGCTTCTCTGGTGGGACCGAACGAGCTCAGTTGAGCTGAGTCCGGACCGAAACGTGAATGCAGGACTCTGATTGGTCAGGGGGAGGAGTCACTGGATCTCAGAAACTTTTCACTGATTCACCATTTGCAATTTCTCTGGATGTGGAGCAGCGGCTGGATCTATTTTTAAGATTTTAAAAACAATAATGACAACGCTGTGTTTAATGCTGAAGTCCAGGCGTTTTTTTGTGTTTGATGACCGACTATAAAATTCAAATGAACGGTGTCACCGCGGAGGATCATACGAGCTGCTGAGCCGTTGAAGCCTGCAAGGCCGGACCCCGAGCCCCGGCCTCGCCTGCTCACAAAGGTCAGATTCAAGCCCTGGCAGGCAGAAGGACTGGGATGGAGGGACGGAGGGTGGAAACGTTTTTAAAAACATTTTATGTATAAAAAATAAGTTTTTTTTTATCAGTTGATGAATAGACAGGCTGAGTGTGTTCACTGGACATTTTATACGCTGTTTGAAAGTATGAATGGAATGTGATTTATGCTGTTCTATAAAGCCATTACAGTGTAGAAGTAATAATGAAATATTTTATATTGACAAACCCCTTTAGTGGTAGAGATAGAAAAGACAGTCACATGCCTTAGACGGCTGAAATTGGACTGAGTTTGGAATGTGGTTATTTGCTTAGGATAGTTTATTGTTATGAGGTTTACAGAAAAGGCTGATAAAAAACATTACAAGCACCAAACAGGAACTTAACACAGGGAACATCACATGACCTATGGAGAACCACACTGTTGCCCAACTAGGATAGAAGGGGACAGGAAAATTAGAGAAGATCTGAAGACAGACCCCTAGACAACGATACAGAAGATGTTTGCAGATTCTGTATTACAGGTGGCGAGTAAAAGGAAAGCAGTCTCCAGGTCCAGCAACTGCTCTGACCCTGGGAGAAGACATGGAGGAATACAGGTAGAAATCATATTTTGAAGAATTGAGAACTTTTGTGTCAGGCTTTCATTCACAGGTGACAAAACAGAAGGAGAGAGAAGAACCTGGGAGGTCCCACACAGCAGAGTGGGTCCTGCTGAATGCCATCATAAGGAAGAGGAAGGAGCCGAGGTGGACAGGCACCTACAAGGCTGAACCGAAGTGGACCGGACCTCATCAGGTGGTTGAGAGAACATCGCAAACCAGCGGAAGAGCCGAACCGATCACTGGACCAAGTTGGGATCGATCTGGTTGAAGAAAGCCCCCAATTTGTCAGGACGAGTGACCTGACTGCCCCCACTGTATCGAGACCAGTGACGATAAGCCCAGAAGCCCCCACCCCCAGAAAGCCCCATTACACCCCCTTCTACCCCACTTTGTCAGGGCAATTGGCCTGACACAAAACAGTCAGAGGCTAGGAAAGGAGAACAGAGTCTCCAAGCCCTGACACACACTCATTAAAAAAAAAAAAAAAAAAAAAACTGAACTGAACTTATTCCCCCTAAGAAAAGCAAGAAGATGGACCCACTGACTAAGGCATCTTGAGTGCACACACGTCCCTAGAAAAGTTGAAAACATATTGACATAGAGACTCTCACACATGAAAAAATCTCCATGGTCTTAGAAATTTCATCACCGCTGAGGAACAAAGGACCCCTCACCTGGGAGGGCCTCCCAACTCATCAAAGCGCCGAAACGCAGAGGGAAAGGGTTGAAAATTGATGTTTGTTGCTGTCTTTTATTTGGTCATTCCAGGAGAACAGAGTACGATAGTTTTATTAAAAGGCCCAGAACTTATAGATGAAATAGTCTACCATTTTCAAATAACACGAGTTTGTTACATACCCCTGAAGAGTGACCCTGGTTTTGGGGATTTTAGCGAGGATAATGTGTGGTGTTGTTTTTTGGTATGAACAGTTTGGTGAGTTTCAGGACAATACAAACTCCACTCAGCCACTCACCAGCTCTGTAGCACCCCGTACTTGTAAAAGACTTTCAGAGCACACAATCTGTCACATGGACTGAACTGTACATCCAAATGAGAGATGTGGACACATTTTAGCGCGCCTTAACATAAATTTGAAATTTAACCTGCCTGCAAACAGTCCTACTTATATTGAGGTGATTGAAGTCCCCAGGAGAGTTCCAGATTAATATAATCAAGCTGATTGGGTGGCTGCCGGATTTGAGCGCTTCCCATCATCCCTAATAAGAATTTAGAATTCACTACATCCATTATAATGTGTTGCGACTGATTAATTTGACTCGAGTTACTGTAGAAGAATTGGCTGAACAATTTGCACCCACTTCCCTTATGATCACAAAAGGGGGCATGTGTGCTAGGTTTGGAATAATGCTGTCCGTTACTCAGGTGGTTGAAGGCCTGAATGGTTTGTCTAAAACAATGCACCAACACCCAGGTAAAGACAACCCCTAGATGGTTGGCTGACTGGACTTTTTGGTAAGTGGGGATGTGCAGAATTGTCTGTGTTCATGTAGGATGTGTTTTGTTAAGGGGTTTAGACAGGATTTAATTTACATTTGAGTTAGTCTGTGAAGGATGCTGAGTGGACTGTTAAGGTCACCGTCATGGGGCGTGAGGTGATGCTGTCTTTTCCTCCTAAATAATGATAAAACCGTTCGCTCCGTTTTCAGCAGCATTCACACAACATCCTAGGGTTTAAACGAGTACTAATCTTTCTATGATAGATGTGCCTTTTAAACCTTAATTATTACTCTTTTAATAGAGGCGTGGTATAAACCACAGGTATTAACCTTACTTTGATAGAAGTGATCCAGGAACCATGATGCCCCTGCTGCAGAACCCTGTTTGAACTGAGGCAGCTGAAAAGGTGGACTTACAGCAGAAATGGATGAGTTTAGAAAATTGGTCTCTTTTGAAGAGACCAAGAGTGGGAATGGTGAATAGACAGGCTGGGTGTGTTCACTGGACATTTTATACTCTGTATGTTCACTTTTTCCATAGTTTTATATGTTATACTCTATTCACATCATATCTATTTTTGTGTGTGTTATACACTGTTCACACATATTTTATCACATAGAGGTGAACAACTTGTTTTCGTACAGCACTGAGCAGGAAGGAGGGGCCGGATCGTTTTTCTGTAGACAGAAACAAAGAAAAGTAACTTTTGAGAGTGGTACCAAAATCCAGTTCAAACTAGTTTTTCCTTGAAAGATAAGAAATATGACTGCGTGGTTGCCAAGGTAACCTTAGATTGACTAGGTAGTAAGCCAATAGGAGAAGATCCCCCTCCAGGAGGGAGGCGGGTTCATGAAGAGCTTATATTATCCTAAAACAGGAAGTAGCGTCAGACAATCTTGAGCAGAGCAACTTCTCAGGTGAAGTACGCCTCCATTGTCTCCTGAAATGCATTTCACTACTTTGTTTTTGTAATACTTTAACTGTGGTGTGTATTAAAACTCTCTTAAACTAAGGTGAAGTCTCCTGATGTACCTGCCCGATCCAAACAACCCAGAGAAAGGTATTCGTACCTTTCAACACAGTGAAGATTAAAAATAAATAAACGGTGCCGGCTTTATTGTGAAATCCTGTTTGCCCTTTGACTTTATTAAATAATCTGTTAATTAAAGTTAATTCAACTGAAAAATCATAAAAAGACACAAAATTATTGGATCTCTCATGAATATTTCCCTCAAACATGTTTAAAGAAGAGACACAGCCTTTGGTTCAACATTATTCTAAGCCACAGATGTACAAATCACAAAACAAACATTACACTTTAAATTAAAGCTTTAAATCAAAGCTAAACTTTAATTCAAAGCTAAAAATAATCTGCATACAAGAAAAAATAATCTGTATAAAAGAAAAAAATAATCTGTATACAAGAAAAAATAATCTGTATACACATAAATTAAATCTGGTCTTCTGGACATTCAAAAAACAAAACAAACAAAAAAAGTAGAAACGTTACGTCTTTCATCCGAAAGACTTCTTCAGTCTGAGGTGCTGTATTCAGCTCAGTCTTATATAAATAGCTGTGAGCTGAATACAGCACCTCAGTCTGAATAAGTCTTTTGGATGAAAGACGTAACGTTTCTACATTTTTTTGTTTGTTTGTTTTGTTTTTTGAATGTCCAGAGGACCAGACTTAACTTTTTTAGATTTAATTATAAATGTTTTTGTAGAATCTGTTTCATCAGATTTAATTCAGTTCAGTTTATTTATACAGCGCCAAGTCACAACAGAAGTTGTCTCAGGGCGCTGAACAGAAATATTCATATATATGTTAACAAAAACATTCATATATATAAAAATAATAATTTAATATTATTTATCTGAGGAGCAGACAGCTTTGAGTAACTCATCGCAGAACTCTCATTAGCAGGACTTGGATTCTGGACACGCCTCCAGAATCGGTCCTAAAGTGCAGGTGCAAATCCAGGCTGAGTTGAGCCAAGCTGAATAGGGGCAGTGCAAAAAGGGCATATTTTACTAACAGATATGATTAACATTAACCACACGGTGACTACTTTTAATTTTTTTAAATTAAAATCCATCTAGTAGCTCATGATATATTTAACTAACAGACATGCAGACTGTAATAGTCTATTACAAAATTGTAAAAACAAATGCTGCACAATCAGTTAGCACTAAAGTATGTGTTAAGCTTCACTTTCAGCCTATCTGTAAAAACATCTGTTATAGCCAATTGTGTGTTAGCAAAAGTTGCTTCGCTATTGTTGTGGGACATAAAAAGCAAGTAAATATCTTAAATCTTACCATAAACCACAACTGAGGCTGTGGCACTGCGTCTCTTGGCCACAATGTTGCTGGCAATGCACGTGTAATTCCCAGAGTCAGAGAGTCGAGCTTCAGAGACGATGAGATCATGGCCACCTCTCATGTTGATCAAACCACCATCACCAAAATGTAGAGAATCCTCATTTCTCAGCCATTCCACCTGAAAACATCAGAACATGTCAAATTCTTCAAGGTATACATGTTGAAATGTGTGTGGGCTCACTATCTGTCACTCGTGCTAAAACAGTTCCAAATTAACTACTTTTTCACGAGCTGTGGAAACACTTGTGCACAGGGACCTCCTAATACGACACACCTCAGGAGGGTTCAGCTAAAATAAGAAGATATGCACATTTTGTTTTATAAGTTTAACAAGTTCAAAAAGACTATAGTAGTGCAAGAAATATATTTATGAATCATTCCTGTCATGTTGTAGCATACATAACGTGCTGAATGGGATTTATTGTTCGGTACGAGTTTAATTATAATAGGCACAGCTATTTAGGATCATATCCTGATGCATGCTCAATAATCCAGGTAGAAAAATCCCAAAATGTTCAATGTGGTCCTCTGAACATTCAAAAAACAAAAAACAAAACAAAGCAAAAAAATAGAGAAACGTTTCGTCTCTCATCCGAGAGACTTCCTCATTCTGAGGTGCTATATTCAGCTCAGTCTCTTAAATAACACCTTCTCATAGTGGATCAACCAGTTTGCTGCTGACAACCAAAACCAGCTGCTCACATGGTCAAGAAAGACCATCAGCCCAACAATGGATCATTAGCACACTGATGGCTGTTTACTATTCACAGGGGATTGAGTGATACTAGCAATAACAGCAGTGTAAGAGGGGGACAGTTAAACATGGAGGCCTCCACCCCTGTTTAATGATGGACGATTTCTTTTCACAAAGATGGCCTCCTTTACTCCTCTCTCAAACCATCGTTCCTCTCTGTCTAGGATGTGAACATCTTCATCCCTGAAAGAGTGACCGCTGGCCTGGAGATGAGTGTAGACTGCAGAGTCCTGGCCTGATGATGTTGATCTTCTGTGCTGGACCATCCTTTTGGCCAGTGGCTGTTTTGTTTCCCCGATGTAAGACTGATCACAGCCCTCCTGACACTGAACAGCATACACAATATTACTCTGTTTGTGCCGGGGGACTGGATCTTTGGGATGAACCAGTCTTTGCCGTATTGTATTTTGGGGTTTAAAAGCCACTGGGACGTTATGTTTAGAAAATAAACGTCTCAGGTTCTCTGATACTCCCTCAACATATGGAATGACCACTGGTCTGGGTTCCTCCTTTTCACCTGATGGCTGACTGGAGTCCTGTTTGGGTTTCTTCTCTGCTTTCAGAAAGGCCCAGTTAGGATATCCACATTGCTCTATAGCCTGTCTTGTGTAGGATTTCTCCTTTTGCCTGGCTCCTGAGTTAGTGGGGATGCTGTCTGCTCTGTGATACAGAGTCCTGATGACTCCTAACTTGTGCTCCAAAGGGTGATGGGAGTCAAACTGCAAATACTGGTCTGTGTGGGTGGGTTTGCGGTACACCTCGGTTTGCAAATGTCCTCTATCAGAGACTGAGACCTCACAGTCCAAGAAAGCCAACCTGCCATTTTTTACATCTTCTTGTGTGAACTTGATTTATTTATCCACAGAGTTGATGTGGTCAGTAAAATGTTGGACTTACTGAGATTTAATTTTAACCCAGGTGTCGTCAACATGCCTGAACCAATGACTTGGTGGTGTCCCTGAAAAGGACGTCAAGGCTCTCTTTTCTACCTCCTCCATGTACAGGTTGGCAACAATAGGAGAAACTGGAGACCCCATAGCACACCCATGTTTCTGCCAATAATATTGCTCCCCGTATGTGAAGTAGGTTGACTGTAGGCACAGTTTCAAGAGTTGACACAGTTGTTCTGTGGAAAGCGTGGTCCTGCTGCTCAGAGTGGTGTCTGATTTTAATCTTAAACTGACCACCTCTACTGCATCATCAACAGGAATGCACGTAAAGAGTGATGTGACATCAAAAGAGACCATTGTTTCATCAGTCTCCATGATGACATCCCTCACCTTATCCACTAAGTCCATGGTGTTCTGTATGTGGTGTTCTGAGCTGCCAACTAAAGGGATGAGTACAGATGCCAGATATTTGGAAACATTGTAAGTGACAGAGGTTATCATGCTAACAATAGGTCTTAAAGGTACACCTTGTTTGTGGATTTTAGGTAAACCATACTGACTTGGTGTGGCCTCCCCTGTGTACAGTCTGCGGTACAGAATACGGTCAATAGTCTTGTCCTGCTCCAAATTTTTCAGGCAATCTATTAACTTCTTCTTGTAACCACTTCCTGGATCTCTTTTCAGAGGTTCATAAGTGGTGGACAGCATCCCCACTAACTCTTGAGCCAGGCAGAAGGAGAAATCCTACACAAGACAGGCTCTAGAGCAATGTGGATATCTTAACTGGGCCTTCCTGAAAGCAGAGAAGAAACCCAAACAGGACTCCAGTCAGCCATCAGGTGAAAAGGAGAAACCCAGACCAGTGGTCATTCCATATGTTGAGGGAGTATCAGAGAACCTGAGACGTTTATTTTCTAAACATAACGTCCCAGTGGCTTTTAAACCCCAAAATACAATACGGCAAAGACTGGTTCATCCCAAAGATCCAGTCCCCCGGCACAAACAGAGTAATATTGTGTATGTTGTTCAGTGTCAGGAGGGCTGTGATCAGTCTTACATCGGGGAAACTAAATGGCCACTGGCCAAAAGGAGGGTCCAGCACAGAAGATCAACATCATCAGGTCAGGATTCTGCGGTCTACACTCATCTCCAGGCCAGCGGTCACTCTTTCAGGGATGAAGATGTTCACATCCTGGACAGAGAGGAACAATGGTTTGAGAGAGGAGTAAAGAAGGCTATCTTTGTGCAAAGAAATCGTCCATCATTAAACAGGGGTGGAGGCCTCCGGGTTCAACTGCCCCCCTCTTACAATGCTGTTATTGCTAGTATCACTCAACCCCCTGTGAATAGTAAACAGCCATCAGTGTGCTAATGATCCATTGTTAGGCTGATGGTCCTTCTTGACCATGTGAGCAGCTGGTTTTGGTTGTCAACAGCAATCTGGTTGATCCACTCTGAGAAGGTGCTATTTAAGAGACTGAACTGAATACAGCACCTCAGACTGAGGAAGTCTCTCGGATGAGAGACGAAACGTTTCTACATTTTTTTGCTTTGTGTTGTTTTTTTGAATGTCCAGAGGACCAGATTGAACATTTTTTGAAAATTTAGGATCATATTTGGTTTATCAGTCAGCTTGATGTACCTGTTTGACATTTAAGAGCTTAAATAGATCTTCATCTGCGCCAAACAATATATTCTTATCAGCAGTGTCTTAACCATGGGACGTATAAAATAGGCAGTTTTTGCCAACTCTGAACATTTATCATTATTTTTTAGGAAATTTCATCATAAGAACTGATTTGCGTTACTTCAACATTAGTTATATCCAAAACTTCACTCATCCATTTATGCATCTTGCTTGCTTATTCAAGATTGGGTTGCAAGAAGTGACAGTTCCAGAAGTGAAGCCCAGACATCTCCCCAGTGTTTCTCTCAAACTCCTTGAGGGGATCACAAGTCGTTCCCAGGCCAGTGAGGACATAATGCCTCTGGTGTCTTCTGGGTCTTCAATGTCTTTTTTCGATGAGATGTGCCCAGAAATCCCTCAGAGGACAGCATCTCAATCACATGAACCACCTCAGCTGACTATATTGATGAAGAGGATCAGCAGTTCTAATCCCCCTACAAGACAGTGGATGAGTCCAGCCACTATACACAGGAAGCTCATTTTAGCTGCTTGCATCCAGTTTTCCATTTGTTCAGTCATGATTCACACCTCATGACAACATGTGTGGACTGGTGCACAGACAAACTAGTAAAATGAGAACATTATCTTTCAGCTAAGCTTATTCTTTATGACACACTGCACTAACACCCTCATTACTGTGGATGAAGCCCTTGCCCATTGGTCCATTTTCCACTCTCCCCTACAATCACTCATGGACAAAACTCACATATTTGAACTCCTATGCTCAACTCACCCCGGACCTGGAGAGAACATTCCTTCTTCATCTGGTTGAAAATGTACATGACTTGGACTTAATCTTGGCTGACACAGTGATATTTTTAGTTGTTGTAAAGAACCAGTACAGTACATGTCACACTGTGCAAGATGAGATCTTAAAATCTTGATAACCCATGTCACACTGTATGATGTAATATTTAAAAGATGACAGACTGTGGGACTTCTTCCTATAGAATAATCAACTTATGTACACCACAAAAATCTAATTGATTTAGCTCAATGAAAACACATGAAGTGCTCACTCATGTTGATGTGCTAATTGTTACATTTAGACTTGAAAAAGAAATGGTGGTGAAGGAGAAAAATAAAACAACAGTGGATGAGCTCATGACTAGGAAATAAGATTCAGTCAAAGACAGTCACAGTGCACAACTTTCCCAGACATTTTTTGACACTGCTTCATATTGAAGGTTGTCTTTGGTTGTGAGAGTTAAATGGGCTGTCTGTTAGCCTGTCACACTGAACAATGACATACCACCAACTCAAGCTCAAATCCAAAAATTTCTTACCATTTTTTTCCTTACAAAACATTATGTCTACAGCAGTCATTGCAGTGTGAAGCCGTTTTCATTTCAGTTCACCTTTATTTAACCAGGAATAATAACACTAAGAACAAATTCTTATTCACAGTGCTGGCCGGGCAGCACCAACAGGCACTTGTAGGGTCATGGGAAGGGAAACAATACAGTAGGCAAAACTATAAAATATAGAAGTCAATAACAAACAAGGAAATCACAAATGATATTAACAACAGTTCATTGTCAAAGTTAAACGACAACATTACTAAGCATGAAAAGCAAGTATATTTAAAACCGTCTTTGGTTGAGTCGACTCTCATCCCAGCTACTTTACATTGTGAACTACCCCAGTACAAACTAAATGTCAAAGCCCTAAGATGCCAACAGAATCACATAATCTGCCGGCAGCAGAGATAAGACCCTGAGGTTCCCAAGTAAGATCCCTGCCTTTTCAAAACTGGACTTTGAGATCCATCCATGAACACCAAAAGA